TGCAAAAAAAAAAAAAAAGTGGAGACACGACATCTAGAAAATAAAAAAAATAATAATAAACAAAAAAAGATTGTGACTCTATTTTGGTGTTAACAAATAAAAAGACCACAAACAATTATTTTAGCAACTTTGAGAAAAAAAAAAGGTTAAAACACTAAAACAATCTAATATCCAATAAAATCTTATGTATAAGATAAAGTCATGTTGACCCATGAGTCCATGCATAGAATAGTAAACCGATAAGAATCTTTATCTTTTTGGTTATAAGACAAGAATCATTTATTATTTGTCACCTTGCTTAAACTAATAAAAATCATGTATATATTAATTTTATAGGAACTTGTAATGGCGGCGCCGGACAACCCATCAAACGCCGTGGAATGGGCCATGGCGGAGATGATAAACAAACCGGAGATCCTCCACAAAGCTATGGAAGAGATCGATAGAGTCGTCGGCAAAGAAAGATTCGTCCAAGAATCCGATATCCCAAAACTTAACTACCTTAAAGCTATTATCCGAGAAGCTTTCCGTCTTCATCCCGTCGCCGCCTTCAACCTCCCACACGTGGCACTCTCCGACACGACCGTCGCAGGTTACCATATCCCTAAAGGAAGTCAAGTTTTACTTAGCCGTTACGGTCTTGGTCGTAACCCTAAGGTTTGGTCTGATCCACTTAGCTTCAAACCGGAAAGGCATCTCAATGAGTGTTCGGAAGTGACTTTGACGGAGAATGATCTCCGTTTTATCTCGTTTAGTACCGGAAAGAGAGGATGTGCTGCTCCGGCGTTAGGTACGGCGATAACCACTATGATGCTCGCCAGGCTTTTGCAAGGGTTTAAGTGGAAACTAGCCGGAAGTGAGACACGTGTTGAGCTTATGGAATCGAGTCATGATATGTTTCTTTCGAAGCCTTTGGTTATGGTCGGAGAATTGAGATTGTCGGAGGACCTTTACCCAACGGTGAAGTGAGGCGACGGTGACGTACGGCGAGGAAATTTCCGTATATATTATGAATAACTCAAAGTTTAATGAATCATAAACCAAACTTTGTTCGGTTTTTGTCCTTTTTGGAAACACTTGATGTGTGTTTCCTCTTTGCTTTTTTCTATATATATTAATTTTGGTTTTGTTTTGATAAGAAAGGTATTCACATCGAGTATCTCTTTTCTTCCTTTATAAGAAATAAAAATTTAAGTATTTCTCTCGTTTTTTTTTCTCGTCATTTGGGTGGACAAAATACTACCTATAGCCACGGCCCTATAATGCATGCTAGGATTGAAAAAGAATAGAAAATTGACAATTTTTAAACTTGGTTTTTGAGAAAGTTAAATCCTGTTTATCAAAAAAAAAAAAAAAGTTAAATCCAGTTTTTGCAAGCAAACGAGTATACGGTTAGTTAGGAGATCTTAGGTACAATACAATCTCGTTATCTACATATTCCGCGTTTTGTTGATTTCATTGATGCTACACTTAAAGAAGGAAAATTAATACAAGAATTAAAAATATGTTATTATATAAGGTTTAACGGCTAAAAAGTTTAGATTTAACGGCTAAAAAGTTTAGATTTAACGGCTAAAAAGTTTAGACATGACCATTACCAACTCTAATATATGTTGTATATGTATATAAGAGTGTTTTAAAGAAAGAAACTTACAAAACAAATTCATATTAACGTAGGAGATGGTGAAGAATATTGATTTTGTTGTTATCTCGTTTAGTACTAGAAAGAGAGGATGTGCTGCTCTGGCGTTAGGTACATCGATAACCAGTGACGGATGCAGAATAGTTAGTCATACGGATCATATTATCGTATGCCAAATACAAAAAAAAGTTTGGAAAGAAAATAAAAATATCATCATAAATGATTGTTTCAATTAAAAAATACCATTACAAACAAATAAAGATAAAATGAGAAGAAAAAAGGTAAAGTAAACATTAAAACTAATGTAATTTAGGTTGTGTTAAACAATAATAATGAGATCTAACCTAGTTTAGTGGGCCAATTTTTATTTATAAAATTAATTGGGCTAACATGTTGTAGTTTTAATTTTTTTTTTAATTGGACTATATCTAGATACATATTTGATGGGGTCAATAATATTTTGGGAAAAGTGTCAATTTATAAAAATTAACAAAACCTAAACTATTTTTCTAAAATTCATGGGTGTCAATTGACCCGATGGTTACATACTCACTCTGCCACTGGCGACAACCACCTTGATGCTTGTGGGGCTTTTGCAAGGCTTTAAGTGGGAATTAAACTAGCCAGATGTCATACACGTGTCAAGTTTATGGAATCGAGTCATGATATGTTTCTTTCGAAGCCTTTGGTTATGGTCGTCAGAGAATTGAGACTATCAGAGGATCTTTACCCAACGGCCAACGGTGAAATGAGGTAAGGTACAGTGACGTTCGGTGATTTCTCGAGTAATATCCCGATATACTTAACTGCAAAGTAGTATATACGAGGTCGATTTTCAAGGACCAATGATACTCTAAAGATTCGTGAGACTCGTTCTTAGCTAAAACGACAAAATATTTGTTGATTTTATGTTTGCAAATAAAAATACAAAATAAATAAAACGATTAAAGTTATATAATAAAAGCATTGGGCCATAAGATATTTTAGATATCAATGGTTAATAGAGATAACAAAATAGAAATTCAACAATAAAGAACCGTTCTCGAACATGAACACAAAATTAGACTAATCCTCTTTCAAGAAATTAGTCACAGAACTTGACTACTCATTTGCAACCATCAAGTCAATTTCGTATTATCAAACAAGTTCATTAAGTCCACAATACGTTCTAACATCAATTTTTATTGGTTAGAAATACATTGCTCAATTTACATTCATTCAGATACTTTTGATGCATAAAAATACCTATAATCTAACACATGGTGATCAATCATATTTTAACATTAAGAACATGTGAATCAAAGAAACATAAGGATAGAGAATTCCTAACCAACAATAAAATCATCAAACTATTGAATCCCCTACTTAGAACCCTAAAACCCAATATATATTATTAAATTAGTTTGATGTTCTAGCTCTCATCTTAATTTATCTAAATACCCCTAAACCACCTATATAATTTAATTTTTTTTTACTAAACTACTATTATTATGTGCAACATGCCTAGCTCCATTGACAATGCTTAAAATTTATATAGTAAGATTAATAAATTTTTGTATTAACTTTTTCTAGTAGGATAAGAATTTTTACTTTTTAATATATTAACAAAAAAAATTTAAGATTAATTGTGTAATATATTAAGATATGTTATAAATGATAAAGAACTTTTACTTTTTTCAAATATATAATAATATTATTTTTACTAATATATATTATTTTCACTTTTTCAGATAAGATTAAGAAATTATCTATTTTTATCTTTAAATATTTTAACAAATTAATCTTTACATGTGGAAAAATCTTATGTTTTACTTGACACGTGTCGTGATCACGTGAGTTATCAATTTTGAAAACCAAGCTTTATATAATAAGATACTAAATGATATTTTTTGTAAGATCTCTTTCTATTTAATGAGAATCTTCTCAAACTTTACAAGTGTAGGTTTTCCATTTATCTCAACCCCTTTAGTTCAAAACCCTTTAACATGACGGGTCATATAAATAAAGCATATCGGACTTCTTATTTTTCACAGAAGTATTAACAATAAGAAAGAAAATAATGACTATGACAAAAGCTTTTGTGATTTTTATTCTTGTAGCAACGTCGTTGTGCAACTCCAATGCTTTGCCTACATCGGGTATGTTGTTATCGTTCATCTATCTTTGATCATTTTATAGAGTAATTTTTTTCAAAAATAAATTAGTAAAACCGATTTATATGTATATGTGTGCATATATATTTATTTTTCTTTAACATGGTTGTATTTATGCAGTTGTCAATGGATTTGGATATGATTATTGCATTGCAAAATGTTCAATAACTTTTTTAGATGATGTATGCAAGCCGGTGTGTATAAGCAAGGGGTACTCAGATGGAGGGTGTATTGGAGGACCAAAACTTAAATGTTGTTGTAAGAAATGATAGAAATCAATAATCTTTATAGTAAACTAGCGATTTGATATCTTGTTTGTTCTTGGATGAAATAAAACTAATCTTATTTATACTTGATAAGCTTATAAAGTCTTAATAATTTCACAAAAATTTAGCATTATCCTATGGATAAGAGTGTAAGAGAGAGTAAAATTACTTGTTTTGCACAGCGGCTTAAATCATACCAAACCGAAATTAAAACGAAACCGAAACGGAAACCAAAATTACCAATGTCATCGTCGATTTCACGGGGACAATGCCGCTTGACGACTCATATCCTCCTCTCTATCACTTTAGGGCTCTTTTCTTTAGTCGAACACACTCTAATAGGCTTTTCGTGACTTGTTATCCAAGTTTCCGCTCTCTATCACTATTGATCACCGTACAGAATTCTCTGTGTTCGCCTCTTCTCTATATCTCCTCTGTTTTCTTCGATTAAACCCTTCGAAAGCAACGACCTTTTCCAGGTTTTACACAGTTTCTTTTGCCTTTTTGGTTTAGTGGAAGAAGAATTTCGTATCCTCTGTGATGGGCACTGTTTAGTTTCTGTGAAATTAAAATTTTCTGACTCTGCTTCTGTTTTAGTATGTGTTAATAATCCCCAAACTCATCGTTTTCATTTAATTCATGATTGTTTCTGCAATTATAGATTAAGAAAGCCAGATTTTGTGGCTTAACTGTGTAGCTTGCAGGTAGTGTGTCTTCAGCTAAATATGTCTCTAATACAATTTGGAAGTACTTGCATTGCTCAATGGAATATTCGTCCTCCATTTGCAGTGAGATCAAGTCGCCAACTAAAGTATGATTTTTTTTTAAGTCTCTGGATTGCATTTTAGTTCTTGATTTACTTGGAGGGTTTATGTGATTTCTAGACTACCTTTGAAAGAGCATCATTATAAAGGTTTTTCCTTTTGACAACCTTACAGTTCCATGATCCAAATAAACTGTTTGGGTGCTTCAAAGTCGAGTATGTTCTCACATGGATCCTTTCCTTTCTTGTCGATTGCGAAAATGTCCAGAAATATGCGGAATTGCAGAGGATCTCGCTTCATTGTTAAAGCTGATGCAGTGCGTGTTTTCTATTCTCCAACATTGTGTATATCTTACTTGCTTAGACCACTACTGTGTTTCATCTTTATTGCTTATTCTAGGTTTACTATTTGGTCCTCGGAGTTCCGAAAAATGCAACCTTATCTGAGATTAAAACCGGTATGTTTTCGGTTTTTCTGTTATGACTTGTACTTTAGGTATGACATTGATTCTATCTTCCATGCTCTTTTGTTTCAGCATATCGGAAACTGGCTTTGAGTTACCATCCGGATGTGAACAAGTAAGCATCCTCTTATCAAGCTTGTGGTGTTGTATAGATCTTGAGAACGAGATTATAACAACATTGACACTCATGAATCCCTGCTTACACAGAAATCCTGATGCAGAAGAAAGATTCATAGAAATAAGTAATGCATATGAGATCTTATCAGAAGAGATGAAATCTCTTTACGATAAGTATGGTGAGGCTGGAATGGAAGACATGGGGGAGTGGTTTCAAAACGAAGAATTCGAGTTATATTCTTTAAAGACTCTTAAAGCCAAATGCACCACATGTGGCGGACTAGGTCAAGTGGTTTCATCAGCATGTGCTCCTCTTGACTTGAACCAACAAGTCATGACTTGCTCTTCCTGTAACGGCACTGGAGTGGTACGTGCTCTGGATGATGAAACGGATAAGTCTCAAGGTATCGGCCGGGGTTGATTGCGGTAGTTGGTTAAGAGTGAGAGGACAAGGCAATGACGGCGAGTCATCGGGTGATCTGTTTGTTGTTATAGTGTACCTGGTGTTGAAAAGGGATGATACCAATATACTCTACAGTAGAACCTCTATAAATTAATACTCGATAAATTAATAAACACGATAAATTAATAAATTTGGCCGGTCCCGAGTCGGGCCAGTGTAAAAATTAACCAAATTCGATAAGATAATAAGATAATAAGTTTTTTGAAATCCCTATGTAAAAATATAGTCCCAATAATATCATAAATTAATAATCATATAAATTTATACATATATATATATATATAATAGTTTTAGTGTTTTTCATAAAAATAGCCAAAAGATTTTGTAAGTTTTCAAATTTTGAATATGCATAATTTTTGTTATAATAGTCGTATAGATTTTTAAAATACAACAATGTCACTATTTGCGAATTTTAATTTATGTATATCATTTGTATATGTGAATTCTATAATCGTTGTTATTCATTATCAAAATAAATTATTTTCTCTTCGAAATATTACGTGTTTAAGGTTAAATAAAATTTATAACATCCAAAACATTAATTTTACTTAGATCACATTGTTTTAGTTCGTATTTTTAAAAAATGTTTTCACAATTGAAACAAAACTTTCTATAAATATTAATTTACGCTATAAATTAATAAGTATTAATTTATAGATAAATTAATATCACTATAAATTAATAAAATATCATAGTCCCAACATTATTAATTTATGGGGGATTAGCAAAAATACCCCTTTTCTCATGCCCCTTTTCAAAAATGCCCCTTTTAGATGTCCATTTTCAAAAATGCCCCTTTTTAAATCTGAAATTTTTATAAAATTTTATTAGGTTTATAAGGTACTTATGGATTGTAACTACTACTTGAAGACTCGATCCAAGTATTTATAAGGTTTTATAAGGAGTTTTTAAAGGTTTTACAAGTTATTTTAAAGGATTTTAAAGGTTTTTCAAAGGTTTTACAAGATATTTTAAAGGTTTTTAAAGGTATTTAAAATGCATTTATAAGGTATATATAAAGTATTTATAAGATTTTAGATACATAGAAATGTAGTTTGTGTATGTTTTAATAATATTACATACATATTTAGGTAAATCTTATATTTTTAAGAGCATTTTTTATAAGGTTTTTAAAAAGGGGTATTTTTGAAAAGTGGCATTGAAAAAGTGGCATTATTAACAATTTCCCTTAATTTATAGAGGTTTTACTGTACATTTATATCGAATCGTCTAGGGACGACAATGAAAGTACCGGCAGGGGCACAACCGTTGCTGTTTTAAACAAGAGTAATATGAGAGTGCAAGTGGAGATACCTAAGAGATTGAGCAAAGAAGAGAAGAAGCTGATTGAGGATATGAGCAAGAACAAGACTAACTTCTGCTTAAGTTGTAGTAACAAATTTGTACACCTTAATTTGTCAATTTTTTAAAGTTTGGTATGAAAATCAGTATCATATTTTTTAAAAAAATATATATTAAAATGAAATGGAGATAATACCAACAAAGTGAGATATCATTATAACTAACATTTAATTGAATTTTCATATTATTCATCTATAAATTTTGTTAAGAAAATGATTCCGTTTATATACATTCTAGATTCCTATGCCCTCCAAAGATTCTTATTTCTTAGTAGTACCTAATATTTAATTTTCTTGATTTTATTTCATAATAAATAAATAAAAATTTGGTAGTAAACAAATAAAGAAAATTTAAAAAATAAGAAAAGGGGCTACGTTATTCTAGCGAACTCCTTTCATTCGTTTTCTCTCTACTCATCGCTTTTCTTATCTCTCTCTCTCTCTCGGAGCTCTTCCTTCTTCCGTCGTCTACCATTGATTACGGTAAGATTCACCTTCTTCTCCTACTCAATTTCATCATCACTATAGATAAATTAATCTCTGTCTTCTCTGCCTCTGTTAGTTTCTTCGATTGACTTGAAACCATCGAAGCAATTCGATGTTTACACAGTTTCTTATGCTTGTGCTGCAAAATTTTTGGCGGCCCGGTCCAGAGAGGGCGAAATTGCGTCTTTTGAAATCCGCCCAGAAACTTTCCGCCGCTTTATTTCCCGCCCATCTCGGCTTTCGATAGAAATGTTTTACCTTTTTTTGGTTTTGTGGATGAAGATTTCTTATGTGTTGTTGTGAAAAATTGATATTCTTATTCTACTTTGATTGAAGTATGTGTGTTCCATTGAAATTGATGTTGTGTATTTCTTAAATTTGAATTTTTGAAATCTGTTTGTTTTCTTATTGCTTTCTGAATTTTTAGAGTAAAAAACCAGATTTTGAGGCTGAGAGCTACTTTAATTGTGTTGCAGGGAGTGTATTGAGGTTAAATGGCTCTAAGTACATGTGTTTCTCAATGGAGTATTCGTCCTCAATTTGCTGTGAGAGCTTATTATCCCAGCAGAGTCGAATCAAGTCGCCAACAAAAGTACGATTTTCTGTTTTAAGTCTCTGGATTGTTAGTTCTTGATTTACTTTGAGGGTTTTGATTTAGTTCTTATGATTAGCTTGTGTAGAAACTAGTTAAGTTGGTATTTTGTGATTTCTAGACAAAGAGTTTTATATCTGAAATAGCATTAAAGGTTTGCCTTTTCACAACCTTTACAGTCCCATGAGCCAGATAAATTGTTTGGGAGCTTCAAGGTCGAGTATGTTCTCACATGGGTCCTTGCCCTTCTTGTCGATGACGGGAATGTCCAGAAACATGCATCCTCGCAGAGGATCTCGCTTCACTGTTAGAGCTGATGCCGTATGTGTTCCTATTTTCTTCCCTTTGCAGAATGCGTATATCTCAGCTTCTCTACTTATTATGATTTTGGTTGCTTTTGGGTGATTGTGTGCAATTCTAGGATTACTATTCGGTACTCGGAGTTTCGAAAAATGCAACCAAATCTGAGATTAAAAGCGGTATGTTTCCGTTTTTCTGAATGTGAGAGATTCCCTTGTATATAGATGGTTTGTATATGTTCCAATGCATGATCAAACCCGTGATTAGCATTTCTTGTGTTTTGTTTTTGACTTGTACTTTTTGGTATGACATTGATTCGCTCTTCCTTGCTCTTGTTTCAGCTTATCGGAAGCTGGCTAGGAATTACCATCCGGATGTGAACAAGTAAGTGAAAAACTTCATTTGATGAAGATTGTTGCTGTATATCTTGAGAACAGGATAGGAACGAATCTCAAGTAGAAGATAAGAACCTTGATTTCTGTTAGCCAAATGTTAGATATGCCAAAAACAAGATGACTACAAACCTTGGATTATGTTTTTCCCCAGATTGGGAAAACCAGCTACTTTCAAAACTCATAGGCATTAGCAAAATACAGACCGGGAAATATGAAATGCTCAGAAACCGCTTGTTTTCTTCAATACTTATATAAGATAGAAAAGTGTTACCGTCTTGTTTACATGTTTATTATGTACTAACAGGGATCCTGGTGCGGAGGAGAAATTCAAAGAAATAAGTAATGCATATGAGGTAAAATGAAACCCAACTTCTCCTTTGTTTCTACTATGCAATTCGAACTTCAGAGATGCTTTTTTAGCCTTTTGAGACTAAAGAACAAGATTTTGTTCTGCAGGTTTTATCAGATGATGAAAAGAAATCTCTTTACGATAGGTATGGTGAGGCCGGACTTAAAGGCGCTGCTGGAATGGGTGGCATGGGGGTATGTTGTTCAAAACACAGATTCACAGATTTATTCTTTATAGATTTATAGACACTCAAAGCCACCTCTCTGATCACTTCTTGGTTTGGTTTTTTATATTACCTTTCATTAGGATTTTAGTAATCCGTTCGATCTATTCGAGTCATTATTCGAAGGCATGGGTGGGATGGGAGGAGGTGGAATGGGTAGAGGTTCAAGAAGCAGAGCTGTGGATGGTCAAGATGAGTATTACACGCTAATCTTGAACTTCAAAGAAGCGGTTTTTGGAATGGAGAAAGAAATAGAGATATCACGGCTCGAGAGCTGCGGGACATGTGAAGGTTCAGGTGCAAAACCAGGAACCAAACCGACCAAATGCACCACATGTGGCGGCCAAGGTCAAGTGGTTTCATCAGCTAGAACTCCTCTGGGCGTGTTCCAACAAGTCATGACTTGCTCGTCCTGTAATGGCACTGGAGAGATCTCGACGCCGTGTGGTACTTGCTCTGGAGACGGACGCGTGAGGAAGACAAAACGGATAAGTCTCAAAGTACCAGCCGGGGTTGATTCAGGTAGCCGGTTAAGAGTGAGAGGAGAAGGCAATGCCGGGAAGAGAGGCGGATCACCAGGCGATCTGTTTGTTGTTATAGAAGTTATACCTGACCCGGTTTTGAAACGGGACGATACAAATATTCTCTACACTTGCAAGATATCGTATATCGATGCGATTTTAGGGACAACATTGAAAGTACCAACAGTGGATGGGACAGTAGATTTGAAAGTGCCAGCAGGGACACAACCTGGCACGACGCTTGTGATGGCGAAAAAGGGAGTTCCGGTATTGAACAAGAGTAATATGAGAGGAGATCAGTTGGTGAGGGTGCAGGTGGAGATACCTAAGAGACTGAGCAAAGAGGAGAAGAAACTTATTGAAGAGCTTGCTGATATGAGCAAGAACAAGACTGCTAATAGCACCAGTAGATGATTAGAAACACGAAAATTTTGACAATGAAAATGTGAATCTATATACATATACATTTTCTACCCTGGCTTGTGAATTTGAGAATGGCTCTTGAAAAAAGAGGAAGCATTAAAGAAGCAAGTGGAGGAAAATGATTGTTGTTGTGGTGAAATAGAAATGGAAGAATTTTTAGAATTCACTTTTTGTGATCAATCTTTGGTCTCAGATTCCTCAAAGACATTGATTTAAATCATGTTTGAAACTTCTACCAAAATTCAAATATTCTTAAGCTGGTGGGCATAATACTCTGAAATCAAAGCTTCAAAATGTTTTAATCTACTGCCAAGTGACAACAATGAAACATCAGATCACCAAAAGGTTGAAAGAAGAGAAAAGATCTTATGCAAGTTGTGATTAAATATTCAAACTCTAATGGTTCACAAGATTTCACAACCATTGTGTGATCTGAAAAATTGACTAGATTGGACCAAAAGATCTAACATGAGAGAACACAAAGAACAGTTTCTTTAACTTCCAACTTCTTACAATGTAGTACCTCCTCCATCCGACATAAGAGATGCAGCAGCCGCAGCAGCGGTTGGCACAACTCCCGTGGAGATAAACGGTTTCGACAAGTGAACAAGCCTGAAAAGAAAAGGAATTGAATCATTGATGAAGCTATATCAAAGAGTTGTAAAATAGATTAAGATGGGTTAATGAAAATGATCTTACGGGGCGAGAAATTCACAGAAAGATGAAACCGCAGCAGCGACTTCACTGTAATTCTCAGGTGTTGCAGGAGCTGTAACATCAACAATCTGCATCCCAGGTGTTACAGGAACTGCCTCATCTATAGCATGAACTTTAGGCATCTTATTAACCGAAGATACAGAAACACTAATGTGCGCAGTCCGTTGGAAATGAAAGGCGAATCCGACTTTAAGAAGCTCATGATCTAGTTTGTAACCGAGTGCATAAAACATACGCAAAGCATTCTTGCTTACTTTACTTTCAATCATAGTTCTAACCATAACAGAGATTTGATCAGCTCCTGCACCTCTCATCGGACCACCAACATGTTTAACCGTCCTACGATTCTTAAATTAGCTTCCTTTGAACGAAACAAGAACATATACAACAAGAAGAAGAAGCTGTACCATGTGGGTTCTGGTTGATCAAGATCACATAAAAGCCTAACTTCTGAAGACACAACACCTGAAAAAATAAAGATTCACAAATGTGAGTTATGATTCATAAGAAGCTTCAAGTTTCAGATTTTTTGCCAAAGGAAGTGGCTTTACCAAGATTTGGGCCACTTTTTAAACATAACTCATGAACTCTCAAACGTTCGCGTTGAACACCACAAAGACCTTGAAGAAGAATCTCAAGCGCTTCAACATGCTGCAAAATTCCAGAAGAAAATCTAATCAAATTATAAATTTTTCAATCTAGGGTTTATCAATTTGGCTAAAAGCTAATCCATGAACTCGAAAAAACTTGGAATTTGTTCGTCAATCAAAAAAAAAAAAACGAACCTGTGTCTCAATGATTCCTTGAACCACACACTCCATTGACATTGTTGATCTACCACAAAATCTCCAATTACAAATTGCGAATTTAATTTAACACTGGAGAATTTTAGCTGCTCGAGAAAGTAACAACAATCAAGTTTTGTAGTTATCTAATTTTAAATTGTTGAATAAACAAATGGCCTATTAGCTCAGTTGGTTAGAGCGTCGTGCTAATAACGCGAAGGTCACAGGTTCGATCCCTGTATAGGCCATTTCTTTTTTCATAATTTTTCTTTGTTCTTCTACCAAAAATACACGTGTCACGACTTAGCACGTAATGATCTGTGGTTAAAGCGAATTGTTCGATTTGTTCTTCGGTCACATTGTAATGTGTTATAGCAATGTGGCTGCTTTGGTTAGTGACATTCTTGTTCCTTTGCTGTGAGCAGATATAGAGTTGTTACAAGTGCGTATTACAGAGGTGCTGTTGGTGCAATGCTGGTTTATGATATGACAGAACGAGAAAGCTTTGAGCACATTCCTCGATGGTTGGAAGAACTGCGAGCGCACGCTGATAAGAACATGTCATCATCTTGATTGGTAACAAGACGGATTTGGAAAATCAGAGATCGGTTCAGGTGGAAGATGCCAAGGAATTTGCAGAGAAGGAAGGGCTTTTTTTCCTCGAGACTTCAGCACTAAACTCGACAAATGTAGAGAAGTCTTTCAACACTCTCTTGACTGAGATCTTCAACACGGTGAATAAGAAGAATCTCGCATCTAGCGAAAATCAAGGCGATTCAAACAACGCTGGCCATTAATGGCTGGAAAGAAGATTGTTATTCCAAGTCCTGCACAGGAGAGCCCCACTAAGACCACATGTTGCAGCTCGTAAGTCTTCTCGTGGTCCATTACAGTTTAGAAGAAAATCAATTTTTTCATATACTTCAAAAAAATATATTCTTGATTTGGTTTTTAGATAGTGACTTTTTTTTATATTGTATATTCATTTGGAATCGGTTGTGTAAGCATCCCTTTGATTACACATTGTTATCAAAACTTTCAGATTCTGGAAATATAAAAAGAGGTTTAGAACAAAATCTTTCATTTTTTGTCTGTGTTTCCATCAAAAGTTATCATGATGATGCTTGTACGAAAAAGAATATGGAGGTATTGGATAGGATAGGAATAGTCAAAAGCACAACAAAGGAGTACAATTTGAAGTTATGATGAAGGGAGGGCTTTAAGCCGTCTCCATAGCTTGAGGACCGCCCAAATCGACATTGCTTCCATTTACTGAACCACCTTCCGTTTTTGGTGTTTTCTCGGCAAATCTCTCTAGCAGCTCCTGGCAATCTGCGGCAGTGGCCATAACTGCTAAACTAGCCTTCCCTCTCCAGCAACTGATGGCAATTGTTGACGCATCCACTTTCACCGGTTCTTCACCTGAGGTACCAGTAAAACCATAAAAATCACATCCCAAATGATCAAATGTATATCTATGAAGACCAATCAATACGCACCATCGCTGAGAATCACCACGCAGCTTCCCATGACAAGGTCAGTTGCTTTCTGGGCCAACTGTGGATTGGCGAAATCCAGAAACTTGATTGATTTGTCTTGCAGAAGAAGTTTGAAGTCTGCCATTGGAGTATAAAGTACTTGTTTGGTAATGTATGGAAGGATCACAGGTAGTCCCTCGGATGATATACGGAATGGGCACAGTGTGCTTGAACCTTCTTTTGCCGATTGTCTCTCCTGCATTTCAATTAGTTGCAAATATTCTTAAGTTTCACTTCTGCAGTTTATGCTTAATCAACCAAAATGACAAGTGGACAAAAGAATTTTGTACTTACAAACATCTTGAGGCCAACAGAAGCGATCTTAAGCTGCTGCCCGACTGCAAAATTCAACTGAAGAACTTCCTTAACCGATTTTGAAACATAGTAAATCCTCTTGACGCTGCTTGTGTCATTGTTTCTTGCCACAAGATGACCATGCAATGGAAATGATTCATCTTTGATACCGTAGAATTCCTTGATGCCATTGATTACTGTTTCATCTTTCACGAAAACAACAGGGTCAAAGCCTTTCCACTTCCCTTGCATCGGTACTTTTCTCTTGCCTCCCGCATTACTCGAATTGGCTTCTTTATCTTCCGTGATGCTTTCTTCTTCTGTGATTTTCTTCTCAGGCTCCAAGCTATCATCTTTCTCATTGTTTGAATCTGCTTCAATAACTTTTTCCACTGCACTCTCATCTGGTACAGCAGCATCCACTGTAACAACAGATTCTTTACTCAGAGACTTTTCTGTCGAGTCAGTAGACTTAGCAGTAGAGTTCCTTTTCGTATTTGGTTTCTCCTGAAATTCTGTGAGTAAACTATCGATAAGTTCTACAGAACCATAGCTGTTGAAATATGAATCTGAAGTTATCCAAAAAAAAAAAAAGAAAGTTCACCTGGTAAGGGAGAATTTTTTTGAAGGACCGCAATGAAGAAGGCTCCGGTGTTCTGATCATGAGGCATTATCCTCATGCAACGTTCAAGTGGAAGATCAGAGACTTCCTCGGCTTGTTCATCAGGAGTAGCATCCACCACAGGAATATCTGTTTCTTTGTGTTCATCTTCACAGCCTTTAACATCACCGTTCTCATTCTTCTCCGTGGTTTCGGATGAGTCCTTGAGGTTTTTCCCAGAAGGAAACATGCTCACAAGAACTCCGCCTCTCCGGTTTTGTGGAACATCTTTGTAAGAAGTAAACCACCCACCTTTATCACGCACCTGGAGTAAACAAAGAGAAGGCAAAAAAAGATGAGTAATCCCATTAGATTCTAGAGATGAGGGTTTATGCACTCATCAATGAAGGTAGAAACTGACCTTCCATTTCTTAAGACCTGGTCTTCGTATAAGTTCAGGAAGCTTATCGGAAACATCTAAAAGTTCAACAGAGTCACCACACCTCCTTAGAATCTGAAATTAAGCAAGGGTTATTACACGGTTAAAGCTATAACAGGTTTCTCCTGAAAGGTGAAGAAGTTGTTTGAAAATTACCTCAGCAACAACAGCTTCGTCCTCCACTGGGTTCATTGAGCAGGTTGAGTATATCATCTTCCCACCAACTTTCAACAGAGATAAACCTGGACAAGACCAAGCAGACATGTTTACGATAGGCGGATCATTCTACAAGCAATTTCATGGAAATTAGTTGAAACATATAAGAAAGAAAAAAATACCTCTCATAGCAAGAATAATCTGAAGGCTATGAAGTCCATTGCCCATTCCAGAATTCCTGTACATAAACCAAAAGGAATAAGAAATTCAAGAACCAATGTCATACAATATAATGCATCATAGCATGCCGATAGGCGAAAAACGCTAAACGCTAGAGGTGAAAGTACCATTTCCGCCAGATGTCTGGAGCCTTACGCAGTGTACCATCACCACTGCATGGAACATCACATAGCACACGGTCAAAGGCAAGTTGATTAATGGGCATATTTTCACTTATTCCTTTCTCGGAAGCTCGGGATTTGTTCAAACGGCAACCAGGAAACTGTTGCCCTTCATGATTTGTCACTATCAAGTTGGATGTGCACATTCTCTTTGTTTGGTGAATGAGAAGGTTAGATCTTTTAAAATCAACATCATTAGCCACCACCTGGTTATTTAGGGAAGAACAATCAAATACTCTATCTACCTAAACCAGATTTAGAAAATAAAAGATATAAAATAGAAACACAAACCAATCCATTAGGTAGAGATCCTGGTTCTGATGCTTCATGTATAATCTCAAGCAGCTGAAATGTTTTGGAACCCGGTGCAGCACACACTGTTGGAGAAAAAGATAATAGATCAGTATCCATTGACCTCTTACTTTCCCCGAAAGTGGATATAGTCATGGTCGTTTCTTCCTTTCGCAAGGCAGATACTTCTTTGAGCACTTTGAAAATTTGTAGGTCTCAAAACAATGGCAAATAAAAATTCACTCACTGTCAAGTACAAAATGATCTGGATGTACGTCTAGGAAGAGAGGAGGTACCTGAATGATTAAATTAAACAACGCTTTGTAAATATTAGCAGCGACAAAGCAACGTTAACAGTATTAAGCTATCTTACCATGCTAACAGCTTCCTGTCTGGTTATGTTTCCAACTTCATTTTCTAATTTCAAAAATTCATGAAACCTGAAAAGCCCCAATGAAGAACCCATCAATAACACAACAAACACACAAGTTCTTTAACCATACACAAAGTAACCAGAGTAACTAGAATGCTTAGAGAGTGACATGAATTGGTTATCTAATAATATGAAGTGACTAGGAACACTCATATGTTAGTGTAAATATACCTCTCAAGTGTCTGATTTTTTCTAATCTCCTTTCGAGAAAAATTAGAATGCCAAGCGAGATTCTTCGGATACCAAGGCAAAGGCTTAATAGCCTCCAATTCACCACCTTCTATAGCCTGGAAACCAAAACCAATGTGAGATAAATAGCTATCCAGTTATGATAGAAATAGAGACTACAAAATGCCAATTACAAACACTGAATTTACCTCAGCCTGAAGTGATTTCATAAAGTCATTCTCCAAGATCGATATAATCTCATCGCAAAATTGGCCACTGCAATTCATAAAAGAAGGAAAAAAAAGAGAAGCATCTAGTTAGCAATTGCAATCTTGATCCAATCCTACTTCAAGATATAAACTTTAACTCAACCCTAAACCCTAAACCTCATTGAGACTAAGAGCAAATAACAAAGCTCAGAGAAAAGAAAAAAAAGCATTACTTGGAGTTAACCCTAAACGCAGCAGGTAAAGGCTTACGAAGAATCTCCATGAACAAATCCCACTCTTCTATTTTCACAACTCCTTGTTCCTACAACACATACACACAAGAGTTAGAATCACAATAAACTGTCTCAATCCAATAGAGAAACACGAATATGTTACCTTGTAATATTCTTCGAAGTTAGGGTTAACAGTGACAATAGGTTCCCAAGTAGGTTTTTGTTCCAGTACGGCGTTATCGGAACCATCAACGGAAGCATCGGATTTGGGACGTTTCCAAACATTCTCTCTGCTTTCTTTGAAATCTTTTCTCTGAGAACGACCTCTATGTCTTCCTCCTCTTCCCATTTTTCGTAGCTTCCGTCGACAAAACAAAAAAAATTCGATTTCCGCCGCCGGATTCGAAAAATTCACGGGAACTGAAGAAAAGAGAGTTGTTTCAAAGAGTTCAGGGCTTTTAATGGGCTCTAGGGTTTAAGTTAATGGGCCTAAAAGCCCATAATAACCTCAAATGACAATATGGGTTCTTCTTCTACCGGCGAATTCGCCGACGATAATCAACGGCCGATGAGTAAGACCAAGCTTCTTCTTTTTCCTCCTCTTATACCAAAACTGAATCGTTCTCTGTATTCTCATTCTCAGCGTCGTACTCGATCCCTTCCTCATCACAGAGACAAACCCATAAACTGGAACACCACTCACAGTTTCGTTCTCCAAAATCCTCTTCTTTCATTGCTCGAAAAATGCAAACTTTTGTTCCATTTGAAGCAAATTCAAGCTCAGATGGTAATCACTGGCTTGATTCTAGACCCATTTGCTTCAAGCCGGTTAATTGCTTTCTGCGCATTATCGGAATCTCGGTATCTCAATTACTGTGTGAAGATTCTTAAAGGTATTGAGAACCCTAATGCGTTCTCTTGGAATGTGATGATTAGAGGATTCTCTGAGAGTGAGAATCCTAAAGAATCGATTTTGGTCTATAAGCAGATGCTGAGAGATGGTTGTTGTGAGTCTAGACCGGATCATTTCACTTACCCTGTTTTGTTCAAGGTTTGTGCTGATCTTAGGTTGAATAGATTAGGTCACATGATTCTTGGGCATGTTTTTAAGCTGAGATTGGAATTGGTTAGTCATGTGCATAATGCGTCTATTCATATGTTTGCTTCTTGTGGTGAAATGGAAAATGCGAGGAAGGTGTTCGATGAAAGTCCTGTGAGGGATTTGGTTTCTTGGAATTGTTTGATTAATGGTTATAAGAAGATTGGGGAGGCAGAGAAGGCGATAGATGTATATAAGGTGATGGAATCTGAAGGAGTTAAGCCGGATGATGTGACGATGATTGGGTTGGTTTCTTCTTGTGCAATGTTGGGAGATTTGAATCGTGGGAAAGAGTTTTATGAATACGTAAAAGAAAATGGACTGAGAATGACAATTCCTCTTGCTAATGCTTTGATGGATATGTTCTCAAAATGCAGAGATATTAACGGGGCGAGAAGAATATTTGATAAATTGGAAAAGAGAACAATTGTGTCGTGGACTACAATGATTTCAGGATATGCTAGATGTGGTTTGCTTGATGTTTCAAGGAAGCTTTTTGATGATATGGAAGAGAAAGATGTTGTGCTGTGGAATGCAATGATCGGTGGATCAGTCCAAGCCAAGCGTGCTCAAGACGCTTTGGCATTGTTCCAGGAGATGCAAACAAGTAACACAAATCCTGACGAAATCACCATGATCCATTGCCTATCTGCGTGTTCTCAGCTTGGTGCTCTTGATGTTGGCATTTGGATTCATCGTTACATCGAGAAACACAATCTTAGTCTCAACGTTGCGCTAGGAACTTCATTGGTCGACATGTACGCCAAATGTGGTAACATCTCAGAAGCTCTCAGTGTTTTTCACGGAATTCAAACAAGAAACTCGCTTACATACACAGCCATAATCGGAGGTTTAGCCCTTCACGGAGATGCATCTACTGCTATATCATATTTTGACGAAATGATTGATGCAGGGATAGCCCCAGACGAAATCACTTTCATAGGGTTATTATCAGCTTGTTGCCATGCTGGAATGATCCAAACCGGCCGTGATTATTTCTCTCAGATGAAGTCTAGATTCAACCTAAATCCTCGATTGAAACATTACTCTATAATGGTTGATCTTCTAGGGAGAGCCGGGCTACTGGAAGAAGCGGACAAGCTCATGGAAACTATGCCAATGGAGGCAGATGCTGCGGTTTGGGGAGCTTTATTATTCGGTTGCAGGATGCACGGTAATGTAGAAATGGGAGAGAAAGCGGCTAAGAAGCTTCTCGAACTTGATCCCACTGATAGCGGGATCTATGTGTTGTTGGATGGCATGTATGGAGAGGCTAATATGTGGGAGGATGCAAAGAGAGCGAGGAGGATGATGAACGAGAGAGGTGTAGAGAAGATTCCTGGTTGTAGTTCCATTGAGGTTAACGGAATTGTCTCTGAATTCATCGTTAGAGATAAATCAAGACCGGAATCTGAGAAAATCTATGATTGCTTACATTGTCTTGGAAGACATATGAGATTACTTAGAAGTTAGAAACAATGGGATTGAATTGAAAAATGCTGAATTTTATTAAGGCATCTTTGGTCTGAGCTAATATAGAATGGGTTTGAGAGCAAAAAAAAAAAAAAAAAACTCAAATGACATAGCTCGTGTATTATAATTGACCAGTTTAATAAAATAAAATTTTTGTTTTGTATAATTTACCTTTTGTGGAATTTTTGTTGTTAGCCTAATTTTATTTATCATACATATTTAGATTGACACTGAAAAAAAAAATAGTTCCCAAACTGACCAGCTGAAACAAACAATAGAGGATTTTGGCTATTTGAGACTTTGAATTTTTACTTCTTTTTTTCTCTTTAAAAGAATTCTTGACTAATTTTTTGTACCATTTAATTATTAATACATTATATTAGAAAAACCATATTTAATCCTACCAAAAAAAAAACCATATTTAATGAATTAAAATGTGGGTCAATATTTATTGATATCCTCTCTTCTTTTGGTAAGGATTGGTTTGGTGAACCTCAAATACAATGACCTCCATGTGCGTTCCATTTCCTGATTTCGATATCTATAGTTTTCTTTAGGAAAATAGATACCTTCAGAGTCCTATATATTTAATTATGACTGTTTCTTCTCCGAAGTGTAATAAATTTGCATATAAAAAAAAATGAAAAATTGACAACTAAAGATGGGGACAACATAATCTCTTAAAAACGGCAACGTATCAGTACCTTTTAGAGTTTCAGAACGCAAGGTCATGATGATGACGACTTCCTTTAGTGTCAGTCACTTTTAGAGTTTCAGATAATTCCTTGTTTGGTTGCAAAAAATTATGAACCAATGGCTCAAAATTGTTGCCTCCCTTTGTCACAACAATTCTCTTATCTCAAGACACCCCACTCACTATTATATTTTTTTTACTAAAGTTTCACTCTTATAATAAAACACAAAATTATCGTGTCAAAAACTTGTTTTTACTCGTTGATATTTGTTTTACTTTATATTTTCTACATTTTGTTATTTTGTATTATAGATTGACGATATAAAAAAAAAACAAAGTTATACTCCTACTAGTTAACTTATTAAAAATTATATATTGACCTTAGTGGATGTTGCCTTCATCATGTTAGGTGTGTTTCAAACACCTCTAACCACAATTATTTTACTATTTTACAGAGTTATATTTGGTGTACTTATTTGGTTTATGGTGATAATCTTATCAACAATTTATTCAGAATTATATAAGAAAAAAAACGTAAATTAATTTAATTTTTAGCTTTATCATTAAATAATCAGCCGTAGCGTAACTATAGCATTGATCATCACAACCACACACTGATCACACAAAACAATAAAAGATGCATGGTTTTTTTTTGTAAATATATACTACTAGTAGTTTGAATTATTTGGCCAACCCAACGCAAATGTGAAGATAAGGTTTTGAATGCTTTTTACAAAGTCAAAAAGTGCCTTGACTCTACGTTAGGTTTAAAATCAAGAGTTGAATCATTCACTCAATTTCTTCATGACCTTTAAAAGCCTATCAATAAATGTGTGTTACACTATTTGCCGTTTTTCATAAATACTTCAATTTTCCATGATTGTCATCAATAGTATTAACTATAGCATTATTTTCTTGTATACGTTACATAAACATAATTGTTGTAAAAATATTTAACTAGTTGTTGAATACAATAACAGAAATCTAACTATCCATTAGTAAAAAGAATAATTACTACTCCCTCCGTTCGTTTTAGTTGTCGTTTAAAATTTTTTCACACAAATTAAGAAAATCATTAAATTTTCTGTTTTACCCATTATTACATATTTTATAAAAAAAATCATTGGCCAAAACATTAAAACAGTAGGGATTAAACTGGAATTTTCACCAAACATTTACATTGAAAACCTAAAACGACAACTATTATGAAACAAAATTTAAATTCTAAAACGACAACTAAACTGAAACGGAGAGAGTACTAGTTTTCATCGAAACATAAATGATGTTTTAACAATTTCAATGCATTTAAAAAGTACAAAAAGAAAATTGGCTCTTGAATTTCGGTTTTTTTACATTATTTAATTTTCATTAGGATCAAATTAAATATATTCATATTAATATTTATACATTTTAAGACATCACTTATTTTAAGTAAAAATTAGATAAGACGATATTTATTTCCAAACGGAAAGAGTACTTATTAATTCAAAACATATTTTCAAATAAACAATTACGTGCAAAAGTTTCACAGCTCTATAATTATCATCAACTAATCCTTTTATCTTCTTCTCTTTTTTTTTCTGCCAGCTAATACACTACAATACTCCTAAATTTTTTAACAAATATTACTTCAAATTCATTAGTATTAAATATTTTCACAAGCCCATATTTTTACCAAATACTACATTTAATCCCCCATTGGGACCAATTCTATAATTAGAAAATTTATTTATTTCCATTTATTAAATAAATAAATAAATAAAAAAGATAGAAATTGGAAAGCCCACCACCACACTTGCACAAATTCCATCTATAAACACAAAAGCCTTTAGTATCATTCTCGAAAACCACCAAAAACCTCTTTATTACCACCAACAAACAAAGTCTCTTCTTCTTCTTCAATCACTGAAACACAACACCAAAAAAGAAAAGAATAAAGTATGTCTCTTCTTCCCCATCTCATCCTCTACCTAACACTCTTCACGGTGGCTGTTACCGGAGAAACTCTCCGACCAAGATTCTACAGAGAAACATGCCCTGAAGCTGAATCCATAGTAAGAAGAGAAATGAAGAAAGCTATGATCAAAGAAGCAAGAAGCGTCGCTTCCGTCATGCGTTTCCAATTTCACGACTGTTTCGTCAATGTAAAACACATTGAATCTTTCTCTCTGTTCTTGATTTTTTAACTCTGTTTTTTTTTTCTCTGAATTTTCTTTGAATCATCAAATTCAGGGATGTGACGCATCTCTGTTACTTGACGACACACCAAACATGCTTGGTGAAAAACTATCACTTTCCAACATCGATTCTTTAAGATCTTTCGAAGTCGTTGACGACATTAAAGAAGCTTTAGAGAAAGCTTGTCCTGCTACTGTTTCTTGTGCCGATATCGTTATCATGGCCGCTCGTGACGCCGTTGCTCTTGTAAGTCAATTTCCAATTTTCCCGGTTTAGTGATTGATTTCCGGTTTTGTAATTTTGGTTTTTGAAAACCAGACAGGAGGACCAGATTGGGAAGTGAAGCTAGGAAGGAGAGATAGTTTAACAGCGAGTCAAAAAGATTCCGATGATATAATGCCAAGTCCAAGAGCCAACGCAACTTTCTTGATTGATCTCTTCGAAAGATTCAATCTTTCTGTGAAAGACATGGTTGCTTTATCAGGGTCACACTCAATTGGTCAAGGTCGGTGTTTTTCAATCATGTTCAGGCTTTATAACCAATCCGGTTCTGGTAAACCGGATCCAGCTCTTGAACCGAGTTACCGTAAGAAGCTTGACAAGCTTTGTCCTTTGGGTGGAGATGAGAATGTGACTGGAGATCTAGATGCAACACCTCAGGTTTTTGATAATCAGTATTTTAAAGACTTGGTTTCAGGGAGAGGGTTTCTTAACTCTGATCAGACTTTGTACACGAATCGGGTGACGAGAGAGTATGTGAAGATGTTTAGTGAGGATCAAGGAGAGTTCTTTAGGGCATTTGAAGAAGGGATGGTGAAGTTGGGTGATTTGCAATCTGGGAGGCCTGGTGAGATTAGGTTTAATTGTAGGGTTGTTAATAGAAGGCCTATTGATGTATTGCTTGTATCTTGAAGAATTAGTAGCGAGAAAAGAGAGAAATATTAATTATGACTTCTAATAGTTGCAAATCTTCTACCACTTGCCGATTTTTGCTTCTCCAAAGTTGATTTTGATTATTGAATAATGGTCACAGCTAAAGCTGCAATATGGTCACACTAGTCTATAAAATTGGAAACATTGTCAAGTTGTTGAACAAACATATGGACAAGAACCAACATTTTAATTCTGAGATACACAAAAAGAAGCTTAAATGTAGATATTCCTTGTTTAAAGGTTTCAGAATTTGCTGTGAATAGAAGTTTCAATAGCATTTGCCGTGAATGATTGTTATATGTCATTGCATTAACAAGCATATGAGTACTACAAAAACAACACAAATACTCAATTTACTACCATTCCCAGGCCCAGGATATGAAACCGCCGGTTTAACCGGTTAAGAGTAATCTGAGATCTGACCATTTAATTTTTCCGGTTTACTTCTAAACGGATTTGATGGTCATAAAAGTTAAAGAGGAGTCTTTTTTCTTCTTCCCCATTGTTGAAAATCAGGTTTTTACAGATTCAGTGAGAGATCAGATCGCTAGAGGTTTGTGGAATTAGGGTTCTCAGATTCTCTCTCTCTCTCTCTCTCTATCGTTTAATTTTGGATTCGAATCGCTAAAAAGTTTCGATTTTGTTGTGTAGAAATGGATTGGCAAGGACAGAAACTCGTGGAGCATCTGATGCAGATCTTACTTGTAATCTCCGGCGTCGTCGCGGTGGTTGTTGGCTACGCAACGGAATCATTCAGGACAATGATGCTGATCTACGCCGGTGGTGTTGTTCTCACGACTTTGGTTACTGTACCTAATTGGCCTTTCTACAATCTTCATCCTCTCAAATGGTTAGATCCGAGTGAGGCCGAGAAGTATCCTAAACCAGAAGTTGTTGTTGTTGCTTCGAAGAAGAAAGTCTCTAAGAAATAGGTCTGAATCTCTATCTCTATCCTATATATCGGAATTGTTTCTGTGAGAGATTTTATGGATCGGAATCTTTAATTATGAATTGAATTTTCTGTTTTGATTCTTATTATCTCTGTTCTTTGCCAAAGGAATTTGCTTCTGAGTTTAGATTAGAGTCTTTTGAATCACCAAAGTCTCGATTTTTATGAAGATGGTACATAAATATGACACACCTTCTATTTACACATTGTTTAAGCTTGTGAGCAAAAAGCAATGCTGGTCTTTGATGCTTTGCTTTGCTCCTACTGGTTTTCTTGAGTCTGAAGTGTTTTCTAAGTAGAAATAGATAGGCTATGGACGGCGGATTTCACGAGTTTGGATTCCGGGTGATTCGGGAGTCAGATGGATAAGTACGGGGTTATGGTCCTCTGACCGGTTTAAGGTAGTGAGCACAAACCATCAGGATATAAATTTTGTTTATGATGAACAAGGTGATGGTAAATTGCTTTGTTGGAAACTAAGACTCACTTGAGAATCAACTATGTCAAGAATGGATCAGACGTTACCTCTGCCCAAACCAAATGCAACAGTCAGGAGAAGGAAGATGCGAGTGTGATGATTTCTGCTTCATCATAAACTTCCTGGAAGAAGGATAAAGATTGTGAAAGAACTGAGTCAATGGTAAGTCATAGTCTTCCGAAAGCAAAACAATAGTTGAATCAGGTGTGTTGATATCAATTAAAGCGCGTCCGGATTCGTAATCCGAGTTATAGGCCCAGCATATGGCTGATTGCTTGTAAATGAGCTGTTAAGGTAAATTCTATGTCACCAAAAGGATGAAACAGAGAGAGCTTTCCGGAAGCAGCGATAGCCAGAATCTACATGGTATCGCAACAAAACACATCATGTGGATAAATAATAGAGGAAAATACAGTGATTGTAAGAAACTAGTTAACTCTAGAGACAAAAATACTAGTTATGACAAACTTATCAATGATCAAGATAAGAGATTTCCATGTGAATTGGGTTAAAGGTTGTGAACCTGAAAAACGATAGTCTAAGCATATTACTAGTAAGTAGTAACAAAGTACGACAAGAAAGTTTGGGAAACATATACAAAACATTGGAAGTCTTTTCTGTTTGATTCTTCATTGGACATTGGAAGTCTTTTCTGTTTGATTTGTCTTTTCTATTTGGACCTTATTTGAGCTTAGCAGCCTAATAATAACAATGAAAGGGCCTGTTCAAAGCCCATTAAGTCATTGTTTTAAATAACTTCATCCATACGATAACACATTTTTGTGTCTGTGTGAACAACAATCAACACATTTCTTTGTTTTCTAAAGGTTTTTGTCACACGAAGTTTTTTACAAGACTGGTTTTATGTACAAGACTGGTTTTATATACATCTACAAATTACGTTTACTAGATCCGTGTTTAACGTAGATTTTGTATTGTGCTCTTTGTTATTCACTCACTAAGTCACTATGTTGCATTCACTGAGACATTGACCATCGAAGCATTTTTGGGGATTGGCGAATATATTTATATGCTTATCCTAACTTCTATGAGATTTTCGTAAGAGATAAAAAAAAATGTAAACAGAGAAATAGAGATAAAATACATTGCAATATACCAAAAGAAAAAAAAAACATAATAATCAAACAAGATGGGGATTCAAACGAAAAGAAAACTAAAAAAAATCTAATTTACAGAATCTGAATTAAGATAACAGTGAAAATATATTATTTTTCATTTGCTATTTTAGGGTTATACTTATATACTTATACCTTTTTTTGCATGGTATTAAATAAAAGATAAAATATCAGAAAAATCCTCAACTGTGTAAAAATGTTGAAAAAATTCTCAACTTTCCTTTTAGTAAAATATAGTATAATTAATTTTGTTGATTTTCTAATTAAATCGTAAATTTTTGTTGATTTTTTATTTTAATATTATTAATTTATTATGTCAATCAAACTTAACGGCGTGACTATTTTTCAGAGTCAACTAAAATTAACGATTAAAATGATAAGTTAACAAAAATTTACGATTCAATTAAAAATCAACAAAATTTAATACTATATTTCATCGAATCTAAAGTTGGGATTTTTTTACACGTTTTATAATTAACATTTTTTCCATTAAACAAAAGTTTTATAATTAACATTTTTAGACTAGGATGAGTACCAACTCGTTTCCCTCTATCCTTCGGAAGCTCGCGAGTCAGGCTGATGTGTACCACTTTTGGAAGCAAAGAAACAATGCTCTTCACGGCCAGGCAAAATCGGAAGAAGGAGATTTGTAACACCATCACGGCCAGACAAAATCGAAAGAATTTTATTAACCTGATGATACTTTAGATCCGTTAACTTGTTGATTAACACTCAACAAATTTTTTGTAATTCTTGTTTTTTAACTTTTGTTTTTGACAGAGTTACAATTTTCAGGTTAACTTTTTTTTGTAAAACTTTAAATTTTATTTTATATGATATTTATATTCCAATCAAATAAAATAAAAACTTACTATTTAAATCAAAATAAATTGGGGTGGAAAAGTCAAAATAACCAACGGCTAGAAAAGAGAGATCTTGGCGTGGCGTGTGGGAAGTGGGAACTGTGGATGGAGACAGCAAGTAAGTAGCATTCTCAAGCACGAGACATCGCCGCTCTCAGACAAATCCTCACCGGAGCGAGAGCGACTCTTCTTCTTTCATCTTTTTTTTTTCTTTAAATATATTCTTTGTTAAAAAAAGATAGTCAATGGAGTGCATTTATCGTTTTGTATCTCTAAAATATTTATAATAAAATCCTTAAGTACGTTATACACTATAAACTAATTAAAACAAATTTAACCAAAAAAAACTTTCAAATAACTAATTACGTCTAACTCTAAGTCTCTAACCCAAGTTTTTTTTTTATCACATTCTATCTTGTTGTGTAATTTATTATTAAGACATCTTTATATTTTAATCTCAATATTTAATCTGTAATGGATTTACAAAACAAAACCAAAAAAAACGAAAAACCTGTTATTAAATCCCAAAATGTGTTAACATTGAGGATTATATAAAAAATGATAAAAACTAAATTTATTAAACATTGTATGAATATACCTCGATTTTTTCTAAGGAATTATTGCACATTTAGGCACTTTTTTGAACATATTTGTGAGTTTAGACACTTTCCAAGGAGTAGGCACTTTGTGTGGACAATTTGACCAATTTACCCTTTATAACTAAGTCTCTCTCTCGTTACAATCTCTTTGTCTCTCTCCTTCTCCTATCTATTCTCTCACCTTATCGACAAAATCAAGCTGAAAAACCAATAAAGAGAAAAAACAAAAGTCATTTTAGTCTTCATTGATAACAGAGGAGAGAGAGAGAGAAGAAGAAGCTTCACAATCGCAACAATGGCGGAGACGAAGCCATTTCTCAAACTTCTTCCTCTTCTTCTTCTTCTTCTGCTTCACTTCCCTTTCTCATTCTCTACCATACCTCTCGGCTCTGTTATTTTCGCCTCCGGTTCCAACCAGAATTGGCCATCTCCAAATTCCACTTTCTCCGTCTCCTTTGTTCCAGGTTCTTCCCCTAATTCATTCCTCTCCGCCGTTTCTTTCGCCGGAAACGTTCCGATATGGTCAGCGGGAACCGTTGACTCGCAAGGATCTCTTCGACTTCTCAAATCCGGCTCTCTCCGTCTTACCAACGGCTCCGGAACCACAGTCTGGGATTCCGGTACAGATCGTCTCGGTGTTACTTCCGGTTCGATTGAAGATACCGGTGAATTTATTCTCCGCAACAACCGAAGCGTTCCGGTTTGGTCTTCCTTCGATAATCCAACGGATACAATCGCAGAATTTCACCGTCGGTAAGATTCTCCGATCTGGTCTTTACTCGTTTCAGTTAGAGAGAAGTGGGAATCTTACTCTTAGGTGGAACACTAGCACGATTTACTGGAATCTTGGTCTTAATTCTTCGATTAGCTCGAATCTAACGTCTCCTAGCTTAGGTTTAGTATTACGGACTAATGGAGTTGTGTCGATCTTCGATTCGAATCTTCGTGGCGGAGTTGACACCGTTTACAGTGGCGATTACGGTGATAGCGATACTTTTAGGTTTTTGAAGTTAGATGATGATGGAAATTTGAGAATTTACAGTTCTGCGAGTAGAAACAGTGGGCCTGTGAATGCTCATTGGTCTGCTGTTGATCAGTGCCTTGTTTATGGATATTGTGGGAACTTTGGGATATGTAGTTACAACGGTACTAATCCGATTTGCTCATGTCCGTCTCGTAACTTTGATTTTGTTGATGTAAATGATAGAAGAAAGGGATGCAAAAGAAAAGTGGAGCTAAGTGATTGCTCTGGTAACACAACTATGCTTGATTTGCCTCACACAAGGTTATTCACTTACGAAAACGATCTTAAATCATAGAATCATCTAAAGCTCTAGCATTCAAGCTTAAATAGTATATCTTAAATCAAAAGTTTGATTTCTTCCACGTCTACTATACCATGTTGTCCAACTACATTTGAATATATTGCATGGTTTTCAGGCGATTACAAGAGAAGTATGGAAAGTATTTTTGGAAGAGGATGGAAAGACCATATGAGTTGAAGATTATCGTTCATGTATAAATTTGTGTACTTTTAATTGATGATTATCGTTCATGTATAAATTTGTGTATTGATATGAAAAGACCATATGAGTTACTAGATGACCAATTGGACTTGAATGCTTGGACATTCATCAATGGATAACTATGTCTTTGATTTGCTGCGAATGTGTTTTATCGCTTCGTAAAATTATCACTTTTTTTTTTGTTAAGGATATATTGCATGGTTTAGACGATTATCGTTCATGTATAAATTTGTGTATTGATATGAAACGACTATGTGAGTTACTAGATGACCATTTCGACTTGACTGATGATCAATACCTTTAAGGTTTAGTGTTACATCCACATGGTCAATACATTAAAAAGTTTAGTGTGTAGTTTTTAAAGAATTTCTAAATGCTTTTAAATGACTAACTATTTTATAATAATCAGATGGAAGGAACTTTGTGGATAATGATCATAAATTTAAAGTTTGAATATGTGTTTAAATATTTTTATTTAAAGGGTTTAGAAACTGTCATGTTTTGTTTTTTTTTTTAGAATTTTATTGATATAGCATTATCTTTAACTGAGCTTTTTTGCAAAAACTTTGCAAGTTGGTTAATCAAGCTTTAGCATGTTTGGTCTTAACTTGGGTTTCATATAACTTGTGTTCGTATGTATTCTTACAAAGTGGTTTCTCCATATGGATAACACTAAATGGCCGGGTGCGTCCAAGGACATCCATAAACAATTTTGGATATGATTAAGTGAATAGTAAATTGTAATTAATCCATATAACTCTAACTATATGGTCACCATGAATGGTCGCTTGTGGATAGCTACTTGAAAAGTGTTAGATATCGGTTTGGGTTTATTAGGTATGGGTTAGGGCATATTGTGTTAAACATTAAACGAAGTTAAATCTCGGTTTGGGTTTAGTATTTAGTGGCTAGGGTTTAGTGTTATATATTTAAAGAAGTTAAATATCGGTTTGGGTTTAGTAGGTAGGGGGTAGGGTTTAGTGTGGGATACTAAAATTGTTACTCTCCAAATTCTAAACTATAAACTCATGGTATCTATATCTATGATTAGAATTGCTTTGTGAGTATATTTAAATTCTTCTGTCTACATTGTTATATTCAGATTTTTTCGATTATCGATAGTGTAAACAAGATTTTTTTTTTGTTAGTTTTAATGTGTAAACAAGATTACTCAACTTTTCATGCTTCTATCGGCTTTTTTCTTTGTCTTTCATGCTTGTATCAGAACAAAACCTCAAGATGTTTAACCATACATATCCTTCATGCTTGACTAAATGTTATAAAATGATTGGAGTTTCTATATACAAGTGAACAAATGGTCAGCGAAAAATGGACGCTTTTTGTGAAATTGGTGGTTTTCATTTATGTATAAACTTCTGTCTTGGTATGAAACGACGACCATGTGAGTCACAAGATGACCATATGGATTGCACAGCTTGGACAAACATCAATAAACAACGTATATGGTATGGATCCATTTTAATTATAATGATGGTAGTGTCCATTCACAAGTGAATATTGGTCAAAGAAAAATGGATGGTGTACTTTTAGTTGCCGATTATCGTTTATGTATAAATTTGTGTATTGATATGAAACGGCCATGTGAGTTACTAGATGACCATTAGGACTTGACTTCTTGGACACTCATCAATGGAAGATTATGATATATTGTTTGGTTTTTGAGTATTGGTTTACGGTTTAAAATCTAGTTTATGTTTAAAGATTATGACTTTAGGATATAAGGTTGAGTGGAAAAGGGTTAGGTGTTAGATGTTTAGGGTTTAGATTTAAAGTTTAGTGTGTAGTTTTAAAAGAATTTATAAATGTTTTAAAATGACAAAATGTTCTCTAATAATCGGATGGCCTACTATGTATTTGGATTTATATTATTTCTGAAGTTAGATATCGATTGGGTTTTGTAGATAGGGGGTAGAGTTTAGTGTTATATATTTTAAAGAGTTAAATATCAGTTTGGGTTTAGTAGGTAGGGAGTAGGGTTTAGTGTTATATATTTAAAAGAAATTAAATATTAGTTTGGGTTTATATTGTTGACTAAGTTATATTTCGGTTTGGGTTTAGTATGTAATGGATAGGGTATAGTGTTATATATTTAAAAAAAAATAAACATCGGTTTGGGTTTATATTGTTGAAGAAGTTAGATATCGGTTTGGGTTTACTAGGTAGGGAGTAGGGTTTAGTGTTACATAATTAAAAGAAATTAAATATCGGGTTGGGTTTAGTAGGTAGGGAGTAGGGTTTAGTGTTATATATTTAAAAGAAATTAAATATCAGTTTGGGTTTGGTTTGTAATGAGTAGGGTTTAGTGTCATAAATTTAAAAGAAGTTAAATACCGGTTTGGGTTTAGTAGGTAGGGGGTAGGGTTTAGTGTTATATATTTTTAAAAGGTTATATATCGTTTTGGGTTTAATAGGTTGGGGGTAGGGTTTAGTGTAATATATTTAAAGGAAGTTAATTATCTGTTTGGGTTTAGTAGGTAGAAGGTAGGGTTTAGTGTTATATATTTTTAAAATGTTAAATATCGGTTTGGGTTTAGTATATATGGAATAGGGTTTAGTGTTATATATTTAAAAGAAATTGATATCGGGTTGGGTTTAGTAGGTAGGGAGTAGGGTTTAGTGTTATATATTTAAAAGAAATTAAATATCGGGTTGGTTTAGTAGGTAGGGAGTAGGGTTTAGTGTTATATATTTAAAAGAAGTTAAATATCGGATTGGGTTTAGTAGGTAGGAACTAGGGTTTAGTTTTATATATTTAAAAGAAGTTAAATATCGGGTTGGGTTTAGTAGGTAGGAAGTAGGGTTTAGTGTTATATATTTAAAAGAAGTTAAATATCGGGTTGGGTTTAGTAGGTAGGGAGTCGGGTTTAGTGTTATATATTTTAAAAAATACATATATATCGAGTTGGGTTTAGTAGGTAGGGAGTTGGGTTTAGAGTATCTAGTGTATAGCTAAATTTGTGATTCTTGCATCACCAATGACATTTTTTTCATTTAAATATACATGAATCATTTTTAGTACAAGAAATAGATGTTTTAGGTGTCCATTTGTCTTTGACCATTGGTTCACTTGTACATGGATACACCCATCTATCATTATCACAACATAGAAATGCTACATAACGATCATAAAATTGGAAAAAGGAGCATATGACGGATGATTTGGTGTTCAATTAATCTATATTGGACGACACACCAAAAATGATTCATTTGATATCAATACTTTGGCATTGAGGTGTCGTTAGATACTCAAAAAGGTCGCTTCGTATCAACTATATCCTTGCCTTCCTCAAATCCATTCTTAAGTTGTGTGAGCAAAGCTTCATCAGTTGGAAGCTTCAGATCATCCTTAATGCTACCATTGTCAGTAAGAAGACTAACCTGTAGATGTAATCAAAGAACAAAAACCTCTAATTCAACCATAGGGCAAAGACAAAACACAAAGCTGAAGTAACGAAAAAGAAGATCACATACAAAGCCATCTTCAGAGATATCAATCAACTAGTAATCAACACGATTCACATGTGGAAACACAACACTATTATTCAACTAGTAATGAATAAAAATACTTTGTGTGCCAAATTACAGAGTTTGCAAATGTTTATTATACCATTCACAAGACTCACGTCACAATTGTGGGAAGAAGGAACGATATCCTCAAGCTTCTTAGAAGTGAAGATATCAATGGCAACGAAATGACATTTGGCGTGACCATGCTTCCCAGTCTTTGAAGTTGATACCTCAACCACCTATCATAAACTCCAACAACACACCAATTCAATTAAGCAATCCCAAAATCAACTTAAACCAGTTAATCGAATTAAGCAAATTCAAAATCGATATAAACTAGATTTTGAAAACTTATAATCCATAACTTCAAAAACACCAGAATACAATCCAAATCACTAAACCTCAAAAATCATGACGATCAGGTTTAGTGATTAGGCTGATTTAATCTTTCCTACCTCTTCTCACTGGAGCTCACGGCGGCCACCGCAGCCTCACAGGCCGGAGCTTCAAAAAAAGCTTATTAACATCAACCAATCTTCTTGCAAAAAAGCGTCAAATCACTCTCCGTCTACGCAAATGACATCCAAACATTTTTAATTCAAAAACGAAGGTAATAAATTCAACAGATCTAACAAGAATAAATCTAAAGGATAAAATTAAGAACCCATAAAAAAAAAAAAGTTTCACGATTTACAATCTAAATACTCAATCTAGCACCAACGAATCACATGTACCATTGACCCATACAAAACCAGCTCTTGATGATTCAAAACCAACGAAACCAAAAAACGAAAGTAAGACAAGAGAGAAGAACATAGAACCAGAAGAAGAGGGAGATTAAGGGAAGAGGGAGTTCGGTAGAGGAGAGTAAGGATCTCCTTCTTCTTCGTCTCGAAAGAGAGAAATCGATGATGCTGTTTTTTTTTTTGGACACAATCGATGATGGTGGCTGGAGAAATCGATTGAGGATGCCTTAAATAATTCGATTAATTGGGACTTTGTTTCTAACTAATATTTCTAATTGAACGAGAGAAGAGAGAAAGTGTATAACATATCTTTAGTTAAAAAAGGGCAAAATTGTCTATCTTCACAACAAAAACAAGGCAAAGTGCCTCATGAATCCAAAGTGCCTAAAGTGTAAGAACTTAAACATGTAAATCACCCTTTTTCTAATTGGATTAAGTCTACATATAAAGTAACTCCTTGTGTGCATATGTGAAGACACACGCATATGATAAAGTTTTCTTTTTTGTTAGACAGCAATAAAGTTTTCTTTTTGGCCAAAAATGTTTTTTTATTAAAAGGCCGAATTTTTTGACTTTGAATATCTGCAACAAAAAAAAAAAGATAGGTCCCATTAATTGCTGACTCGTTCTATTCCCTCTGGACCACTTGCGTAAACCGACACGTGTCATATAATTCGAGACAATACTTAGCTGATCTTTTAAGCCGATACGAGCCGTATAAGCTGTCTCCTTCAACGGGTCTTTACTAATCGTATTTAATTTTCTATTACTTACCTAAATTTTGTGATTAATCATTTTTTTTGTATTTAACTTAATTTGGGTTGTATTTTAAATAACAAAAAAAACAAAAAAATTACATTATATTTACGAAAATTGACTGTAAATTAACTAATTTAGAGAAATTTTGCAACATGTCTAAATTTCCTAAATTAGAATTTTGTTAAGCGAAAGAGCCTTGAAAGAGACCATTCTTAACGATCACATCTCAAATTAAATTTTGATAAATTAATGTGAGTTCAAAGCTGTATCTCTTTATCTTTGAATAAAATATACAATCATCTTTGAAATTTAGGACACTATGCTTTTCAATATTATATGATAATTAGTTAATATATTGAAATGGAAATGTTTCACCATCAATGCCATTGGTATTTCACTATTTCTTAGTGAGATTTTGATTTTCTACAAGCGGGCCCTCGAAAACACGGGTGTCTAAAAATATTTGGAAAATAAAACAAAAGTTATTCTGCAAATAAGTACACTAAACTGTCAATTTTTTAATTTAACTAGAATATAGCATAGTGGGAAATTAGTAATTAAGTGAATATTATCCATGTTGTAATGATGGCTTTTTTTGGGCAGCTTGAGATGTTATTTTGGTGGTAAAATCCTTAGAGCATGATTAACAAGGGTTGCTTAAAAATGGTTCTTAAGAGTAATAAAATAATAAATTTAAAAATGGTTCTTAAAAATGGATCTTAATGTTAAATTTGGATCTTAGCTAAGCCACTTTAATTTTGGATCTTAGTCTTTAACAAAAATTTTCTTTAATTTTTTAGCTAAGATTTAGCTAAGAAATAGTTAAGACACCACCAATAATGGTGGTCTTAATAATAACTTTTAGAAATATTTAAATAATAAATTTGTAAAAGATCTCCTCGTACATTCATTTTTGGCTCTTAGCTAAGGAACTTTCTTAACAATAATACTCATTTGCAATTTAATTAGATACATTTTATTACTTAAGATTCTTCTAAGAACCTATTGATAATTATGGTCTTAACCCCTCATATTGAGGTATAAAGTTTCGAACCTTTCAACTTTCAAGCATCATTTTCTCACTCTAATTTTTTTTTTGCTGCGCAGCCTCCAAATATTTAAAACCGGCTCTGATCACTTACACAAGATTTTTCAAAACCAATAAACCAAATCCTGTTTTCAAAATCAAACCAAGAGATTGCTGATTTATTTAAGATATAAAAAGTTATACATAACACATTATATTATTATGTAACATGTCAAATAACTATATAGTATTTATTTAAAAAAAAAAAAAAAAAAAAAAAAAAAAAAAAAAAAAAAAAACTATATAGTATTTATCAAAAAAAAAAAAAAACTATGTTGTATTTTAGGGCATTTTTGAATATATCTCGTTAGATATATAAGGGGTTACATACTTACATATCAAGACAAACCATGATTTTTATTTACAAACCTAAACCTAGCTAAAAAGTATATTGTTATCAATTAGCTGACGTTCAATTTTCCCGATCTTTTCAATAACCAAGTTATTTTTTTTTTTGTGTAAAAGTCTTTGTAGTAGCTATTTAACAACGTTTTCTCTTGCTGAAATGCTGCGATTTTATATTTCATTAAATTAAGTTTAGTTGTACTTAGATGTAGTCTCTTATACAACAGTTGAGAAATTGAAAAGCATATTCTTATATCTTTACTAATTTAGTTCCATACTATTCAAAATATTATATTTCCTATGTCCATCTTTTAAAAATACAAATATTTTACACTGCAAAAAAATGTAGATGATGATTTCAACCTTTCAAGAATTCACATCTAAATATGATCAGAAACATATAAAAATCATACATGTTGCAGGTTTGGAACAACAGTGTCAACACCTGATTTTGAGTTGCTTAAATTGGATTCGAGAAATAAATAAAAATGGTGGAAATTAGAGCAAAGAAGATTCACATGTATTTCACGTGAAAGAAATCAACCTGCCCACCATTTGGGCATTTGGCAAAGAATAATTTTCATCTCTTCGATAATCTTGTTTTCAAAAGATACCATAATCTAGTTCCAAAATACTTCATGTTCAACAACGTACATTGTAACACATTAGATGTCTAATACATCATAACGAATTAAACTGTACCTCTGTTGGGCTACTTTGGTTAAAAAATTATATTGGGCTTCTCCAACGAAAGGAGTCAAAATTAAGTATGAGAGTGTCGACAAAAAAAATTAAGCATGAGTAGATATAATTTATTTTTTTAATAAATAACATTATAGTATATGCTTGTTTCCAGAAATTTCTTATGATGTGAATTAAATAAAACCATGCAAAAGCATGAATCACGTAGAAACAATAGCTGGTGGATTGAAATGAAATACACTTTATTGGTTCTTTTTTAGGTACTACTAATTAACTATATAAGCCATATTGGGAGAGTCAGTCTAATAAGTCAAAGAAAGAGCAACTTAAAATCTGGCACAACCAGATGCGATCTGCACGTCTATTAGCTCAAGCTGCGGTTCGGGATGAAATCCCGCATGAACCGTCTCTTCACTGAAAGCAGGGCTTTCACAAAACCTTTTGTTATATTTATGACGATATTTTTTTGGAATATAAGAGGCTTAAACAGCCGTTCTCGTCAACGGGTAGTTAGAAGCTGGATTGCTTCAAATAATCTTCTTGTCGGTTGTTTTTTGGAAACACATGTGGCTCAGGATAATGCCAGTGCTGTTTTGGCTGCAACTCTTCCGGGTTGGAGGATGGATAATAATTATTGTAGCTCTGAACTGGGAAGGATCTGGGTGGTGTGGGATCCGTCAGTTTCAGTTTTGGTTTTCAGCAGGACTGATCAGTTGATGATGTGCTCTATTAAGATTCCTAATATCTCGCAGTCCATCGCTGTCACTTTTGTTTATGGTAGAAATACAGAAGCTGAAAGGAGACCACTTTGGGAAGACATTTCAAGGCTGGCTGCTTCATCTCCTCTGTGTGATTCGGCTTGGATTTTGGCTGGTGACTTCAATCAAATTGCTTCTCTAAATGAACATTACTCAATCATTCAATCAAATATGTCTTTGAGGGGGTTAGAGGATTTTCAGACTTGTTTGACGGACAATGATCTTACGGACATTCCTTCGCGTGGACTCTTTTATACGTGGTCTAATCACCAGCAGGATAACCCCATTATCAGGAAGCTGGACAGAGTTTTAGCTAATGGGGAATGGTTCTCTGCCTTCCCTAGTGCAACGGCCGTCTTTGATCCACCTGGAGACTCTGATCATGCGCCTTGCATCATTCAAATAGACAATCAACCTGCAGTCTCCAAGAAATGCTTCAAGTATTTTTCCTTCTTGGCTACTCATCCTCAGTTTCTGAGCTTCATCAGTGAGGCTTGGAGGGCTGATATTGCGGTGGGCTCGGCGATGTTCTCGCTTGGTGAACATCTAAAGGCTGCAAGGAAGGCTTGTAGGGTGTTAAATAAACAGGGTTTTAGTAACTTACAGCAGCGGACAAAGGAGGCTCTTACTACCTTAGAGGATATTCAATTTTTGATGATGACTAATCCCTCTCCTTCTTTATTCAGGGAAGAGCATGTTGCACGAAAAAAGTGGGATTTCTTTGCTGTGGCTTTAGAGTCATTCTATAGACAGAAATCTAGAATCAAATGGCTGAAGGAAGGAGATGCTAATACTAGATTTTTTCACAGAGCGGTTTTGGCACACCACGCAAAGAATCTAATCAAGTACCTTAGAAGAGAGGATGGGGTCAGAGTGGAGAATGTTGATCAGATAAAAGGAATGATGGAGGCTTACTACACTCATCTTTTGGGCTCAGCAAGTGTCAATGTATCCCCGTTTTCTGTGGATAGTATTAGGTCTCTACATCCTTTCAGATGTGATCAGACTCTGGCTGAAAAAATCTCAGCCATCCCAACCGATGAAGAAATCATTCAAACAATCTTCTCCATGCCTAGGAACAAGGCGCCGGGACCGGATGGTTTTCCGGCTGAGTTTTTCTGGGATGCGTGGGAAGTGGTGAAGGAAAGCACTCTTGATGCGGTAAAGGAATTTTTTAGGACAGGCCACCTCCTCCGAAAGTTTAATACAACAGCCATTACTCTCATTCCCAAGGAAATAGGAGCGGATCAGTTGGCTCAGTTCAGACCGGTTGCGTGCTGCAACACCATCTACAAAGTCATTACCCGTCTAATCTCTAAGCGACTCAAGCTATTTATCTCTCAGGCTGTACAAGGTAATCAAGTGGGATTCATCAAAGGCAGATTGCTTTGTGAGAATGTTATTTTGGCGTCGGAGCTTGTTGAGAATTTTCATTTGGAGGGAGAGGTATCTAGAGGCTGCTTACAAATTGACCTTACGAAGGCTTATGATAATGTGAATTGGGATTTTCTAATCAACATTCTTGTTGCCTTTGATCTGCCTCCTATATTCATCTCTTGGATAAAGGTCTGCATTACTACTCCTTCTTATAGCATTGCCTTTAATGGTGAGCTTATCGGTTTCTTTCAGGGAAAAAAGGGAATAAGGCAAGGAGATCCCATGTCTTCGCATCTTTTCGTTTTGGTTATGGACATTCTAGCTAAGTCGTTGGATAGAGGAGCGGTCAATGGGCTTTTCTCTCCTCATCCTCGTTGCTTGGCTCCTCTGGTTACGCATCTGAGTTTCGCTGACGATGTGTTGGTTTTCTTTGACGGCTCTGAAGCATCTATTGGAGGGATTCTGAATATTCTTGAGGATTTCAAAGAGGGTTCCGGTCTGGGAATTAATATGAGTAAGACTGCTCTGCTGCTTGATGGAGGAGATTTTAATAGAAACAGGTTGATTTCAGAAAGGTTTGGTCTCTCTCATGGCTCTCTACCTGTTAGATATTTGGGAGTCCCTCTTATGGCTCAAAAAATGAAGAAGATTGACTACCAACCTCTTATCGATAGACTCAACTACAAGTTTTCATCGTGGACAGCGAGGCATCTGTCCTTCGCTGGTCGGCTTCAGTTATTGAAATCGGTGATCTTCTCAACTATTAATTTCTGGCTGTCTATCTTTCTTTTACCTAATCAGTGTATCCTCAAACTAGAGCAGATGTGTAATGCATTCTTATGGAAAGGTGCTCCTAACTCGGCTAGAGGAGCAAAGATTGCTTGGGATATTGTTTGTACATCCAAAGAGTGTGGTGGACTTGGTCTCCGGAGATTGGCAGATTGGAACAAAGTTTTGGCTTTAAAACTGATTTGGTTACTTTTCTCTGCTGCGGGATCGCTTTGGGTATCCTGGGTGAGGATCAATCTGATAAGACACCGAAACTTTTGGGAACTCAACCCTTCTACCTCTGGCAGCTGGATTTGGAAACAACTTTGCAAGTTAAGACCTCTGGCTAGGCCTTTTCTGGTTTGTGACATAGGGTCAGGGGTCACTGCGAGCTTCTGGCATGACAACTGGACTGGACTTGGTCCCCTTATCGAGCTAACGGGAAGGAATGGTCCTAGTTCTGTGGGGCTGCCTATTACCGCTGTTGTTCGTGACGGCTTAAGGGGCAGTAATTGGTGAATTGCCTCAAGCCGAAGCAGAAATCCGACAATTAACTTAATTAAAAGGGCTCTCCCGGATTGCGAAAGTATGATAGACTCCTTACAGGATGATGTTTACCTTTGGAAGCCGGATAGTCACGCTCCTTCAAATGTGTTCTCCACGGCTAAGACATGGTCAGCTCTGAATCCTAATGGGATTATTGTTCCTTGGCATAAATCAGTGTGGTTTAAAGATAGAGTGCCAAAACATGCCTTTATTTGCTGGGTGGTGGCTTGGAACAGGCTACACACGAGGGATAGATTGTCCGGATGGGGCTTGAATATTCCAACTACGTGTGTGCTGTGTAATACCTGTGATGAATCCCGGGACCATTTGTTTTTCGAATGCGATTTCAGTGGTGCGATTTGGAGATTCTTCACTTCTAGAGCTGGGCTCTCTCCTCCGAATCAGTTTATGGCTTCCCTCCTCTGGTTGAGGAACTCTTCCTCATCCTTGAATTTGTCTCTTATCATCAAACTTATCTTTCAAGCCTCCATTTACCTTATTTGGAGAGAAAGGAATCAGCGGATTCATACTTCTAGTTCTAGAACAGCCCAACAGATAATCAAAGAGATTCAAGTCATTCTTAGAGCTCGTTTGGATCCCATCTCTAGGGCTAACTCTCCTATTCCTCTTGGTTCTTCCCTCTTGGTTACTTGGTTTGCTCTGTTTCAGGATCCCTAAGGTGACAGGTAAGAGTCTATGCTTCCCCTTCCTCGCAGGTGTCTTCGCAAGTTCTCTCGGAGCTGGGCCTTTGGCCTTTTTTCTCTTTTTTCCTTGTATTGGGCCTGTGGTCTTTTTGGGACCTTTGTGTCTTGTAGTTGTTTTATTGTTTTCTTTTGTTGGGCCTTGTGGCCGTCATGGGCTTTCGGGCTTTGTATGCTTCTTCTTTTAATTGGAAATTAAGTGTTAAAAAAAAAAAAAAAAAAAAAAAAAAAAAAAAAAAAAAAAAAAAAAAAACTATATAAGCCATGAAAACCTACAAAATGATCATTATAACTTTTATTTAAATAATCAAATCTAAGATGCTTTGCTATTAAAATATGAAAAAGGGTTCATAGAGATCCTACGATTACTCAGTGTTATTTGCCGAGAGAAAGTGAAACACATAACGCAAGTGTTCGCCACCTAAAACTTAAAAGTGAATTAAAAATAACTTTACACTAGAAAATCAGCAATTATAAATCATAAAAAAATAACTAAAGCATATCGAAAACCAAGACAGAATAAAGAAATTAATCGGTTACATTAAAACCGGTTTAGGGCTTGTAGGTTATAAAAATATAAAATTAACAAACAATTTTCGGTAGTTTTGGTTTAAAATATCTACTTTTAGTTTACATTTCTTTTTTTGTATACCCCTACTTTGAGGTCTGCTGGTATAGTTGTATCATGTATTCATATCCTAATTTTTTAGTAGCTGGTAAATTGACCAACTATATGCATTTTAATATCTCGATTAGGCAAAACTTTAATCAAGATTTTTAGTTGATCACTTTCCTGTTAACTAAAGTTATATATAAACTCGATCCAACTTAGTCTACGCACAACAATGCCACCAACGAGGAGTTAATTTTCATTTTTCACCATGAATAAGTAATACAAATAATTGCATGAAACACAAATTTTTGCGCAGAATAGCTTAGACAATTTTTAGAAACTCCTAAGGTTTAGTTTAGATGGAGCTCATATATAAGATTCGAGGACGAATCTTTTTCTGGCAGGCGAGACCTAATACAGCAAGATATTTAGAATATTTTTAAATATCTATTTCTATTATTTTTAATTTATTAATTATAAGTATTTTAGAATACTCTATGAATTTTAGGATTTTATGTTTTATCATAAATAGTCTTCTTAAGCCTCCTATTGTATTTAGTTGTTATTGAATTGATTAATCGAAAGATTTTAAAGAGGTTTTGATAAACCACGGTAAAGAGTATTCTCAACCCAAAATTTTTTTACGAAAGTCTTGAGAGAAAGACTCTTAAACCCTAGTTTCCATACATTTTTAGAATCAACGGATCTACTTTTATCCCTATAAACTTCCGCTTTATCAAGTTTTCAGCTTCATACTTTTGACATGATATATAAAGTATAACATATTAAGAGCTGATTCCTATATTCTAACATATGATGGTGATGTCTAGAATTGCACGAAAATATTTTACAAAAATCTAAATAAAATAAGGAATTTAACTTTGTTATATTAGAGTCAATGATGAATTTTTTAAAGACAAAAAAAGATCGTGATGTTCGTATTTTTTTACTTTTTAGTTGATTTACTCTAAAAATTACATTATACCTAAGAATACTTTGTTTAACATACAAAATGAAACTATGTTCTAAATAAAATATTAAAATTATTTCTCATGTAAAGATTCCGAAATCTCATGCATCAACTATTAAACTTCATTTTTAGTATAAATACATACAAAAGTATTGATCTACGTCAACAGTAGTAGAGTGTAGTCTGTTTTCTTCTTTTTGTATGACGTGTCGAACAATGAGTGGATAAATAAAGTGGTGAAATGGACGGCTGTGAATAGTTAGATTAGTTGAGCTGTCGATGATCGGAGCGATAAGCAAGAGGGGACCGTACACGTGCCTATCATCCTCCTCCTGCGATGTTTATTTTATTTTTATCTAAATTATAATCAAATAAATTAATATATAAAATGTAACATTACAAAAGTGATAGTGACAAATGGCTACGAAGAAAACGACATCTTCTTGATGCGTTTAAGGTCCCACGTCACATGGGTATGTGGGCCCCCTATATTTCTCATTTAGTTTTCGTATAAAGAAAGAAGCTACAGTGTGGGCCCTTCTTTTGGCAATTTGTCAGTATACAATAAAAAGGAAATTTATTTTCTTATTATTATTAATAAATTTATAGTACAGTTAAACCTCTATAAATTAATACTCTATAAATTAATAACCTCTCTAAATTAATAAATTCTTTCGGTCCCGAGTTGGGACCAGTGTAAAATATGACATAAATCGATAAATTAATAAGATAATAATTTTTTTAAAAATCCTATGTAAACATATGGTCCCATCTATATCATAAATTAATAATTGTATAAACTTATCAATATATATATATATATATATATGTATATTTAACTTAATATATATATATATGATATAAATTTATATATGTCATATATGAATTTCTATGATATATATTTAAAATATTATATGTAAAAAGTTTAATGAAATATGACTCTATTATTCGAAATAAGTTTGTGTTGTTTGTTAAACTTAATAATTGATTTTTGACTTGTAATTATTTTTTTAAAGATTTTGCTTAAAGAAAAAATTTAATTTTAGATAGAAATTTTTTAAGAAATTACAAAATTAATAAAATCTCTCTATAAATTAATAATTATTAATTTATCGATAAATTAATACCTCTCTAAATTAATAAAATTTTCTAGTCCCAACATTATTAATTTATAGAGGTTTTACTGTATATCACAAAATTTGGAATCATATTTTCTCTATTTTTTTAGGTTCAACAATAGAGTAGCAGACTACTAACAATGGAGATGCTCAATCCGGATTTCGATTCGGTTCAATATTTTTGGATTTGAGATTATGGTATCCAAATTAGAAGCTATTGTAAAATGGATGGTTTGGTATGTCTCAATTTTATTTCGATTCAAATTTTAATTAAATATTTTTAAGTTTTTTTTAAAAAAAACAAGTTGGTTTGGCTTAAATTTAGATTTGGTTTTCGAATATAGAATATTTAAAGCTATTTAAATTATATTAAGATATAGTTTGGTTTTCGGATTAAGTATTTCGGTTCAAAACGGATTAGTTTATCCGGATTGGACACCTTTAGTAAGTAGTAACAAATAAATCCATTTAAACTTGAAAATATTATCACTTATAGTATAAATTATAAGCAAACTTTTAAGCGGGTTTTGGCTTGTAGTCTAATTAGTCTAATATAGTTTTTATTAGTAACAATTTATCATCAAACAAATTTATCATACGCATCTTAATAATGATAAAATGCTTCATTTTTTCTTAATTTTAAAAATATTAAATTAAAAGTATATTATTGTATCAAAATATTATTACATATATATATATATATATATATAGATATATAAATCCAAAACACATTAATTTATGTCACCATTCATTTAGTTAGAAGCGCTTGAATTGGACAGTCAGTTGCCGAACATCTCCAATTCTTTT